CTTAACTAATTTGAACAATTTAAAGTCACTAAAAACAAGACTATATTGGAGAAAAAAAACATCAAAATTTTTTACCTTTAGAAATTAAGGAAAACAAACACTTGATATCCCACTTCTCCCCAAAAGAAAGGAATATAAATATTTGAGGATTTGGAGCATAAACTGTGCTTATCTTGGCTTCTTTTACTTGGAAGCTACCAGCTTAAAAATCTCTGGAAGGTGATGGAACAAGCAAACTTGTGGTTTCTTAAGTAAATGGACTGGATAAATAGATTTCTCAAAAAAGGCATGGATTGATGGATTGATGACGGGTCAGTTGAACTGAAGAAATCTGAGTGAGTTTTACAGTGTTATTCCCTTTAAGTACATCAGCTTATTTGGAGTCAGATTAGAAAATACAACACAAATCCACTTCCCTTTGAAACTGGCACAGGATTTGTGAAGCAAAAATAAACTAAAAGAAAATCTCAGCTAAAACAAAAGTTTATAACTGGGTTGATATGGATCATTCTAGATGTGTGAGTCTTTAATAATACCTTTCCAAGAAACTACTCTTCCAGAACACCCTAAGATCAAATCAGTTTAATCATCTGCTGTTTTTATTTTTGTTCCCATGCAAATTAATGGAAATCCTCCTTAATTCTAACCAAGGCATTACAACTATTAAATACATGGTTCAGAAAATGCAAAATACTTGCTTTCTTTCCCCATAAACCTTAAGTGTGTGACAAAATGCCAGGCTCTCAAGCATCCTTGCCAAACCATGGTCACTGTTGGCAGGTTTAGAGTCTCCTTGAAAGTTCTCACATTTCAACTGTTTCAGTATCTTTGCATCGCGTATATTTTGTGGCAGTAATATCACCTGAGAACCACACTCCGCATGGTTAATGTCATCTTTTCACAGTGTTATTGTACTCAAACCAATTGCATTCCAGCAAGATCTGCACCTCTATTGATATCAAAATATACCAAACCACCATCTTTGTACTTTGGCTAATATAATAGCCCTAAACTGGCCTCTTCATGCCCATACTTTGCTGTCTATACTGCATGTCCTGTATAACAGCCAGGAGGAATGTTTCAAAACATGAATCCTCTTCCTGAATAAAACCCATAAATGGCTTCTCATTCAAATAAAATGCAAACTATGATCTCCCCTCAAAATCCTAGAAACTCTGGTCCCTGCCTGCTTCTCGAACTTCACCTCAAACTCTCTTCTTCCTCCACATTTATCTAGCCATACGTCCTTTCTCAATACCATATTTGTCCTGACCCATGGTCTTCGTACTAGCTGCTCCTCCAGACTTGGCTGCCATACAGCTTTGATTGGCTGCCTCAGAATCATTACTTAGCTCCCACAATGAATATCACAACCCTTAAAGAGATTTTTCCTGGACACACCATGTAAAGTAGACTCTCCTCTACTCAAGTTATTTCTTTCTTCTAAAAAAAGATTGATTGATTGATTTGAAAGGCAGAGTTCAGAGACAGCTGGGGAGGGAGCAAGAGAGAGTGTGAGAGAGATCTATCTACTGGTTCTCTCTCCAAATGGACGCAATGGCCTGGGCTGGGTCAGGCTGAATGCAGGAACCGGGAGCCAGGAGCTTCATCCCATGTGAGCTGCAGGGGCCTGAGTACTTCGGCCATCTTTCACTGCTTTCCTAGGAGGGAAAGCAGGGATCTGGATCAGAAGTGAAGCAGCCAGGACTCCAATCAGCGCTCATTTGAGATGCGGATATCTTCAGCAGTGGCTTAACCCACTGCTCCACAATGTAGTCCTCTTTTCATACTCTTTCTGAGGCTCCTACTTTTGTTTATGTCAAACTTAGCACTACACAAATTAAAAACTTGTTACATGTTTATTTCCTCTCTCTTCAGCTTCATGAGAGCAGGGATCAAAGGTGAACGGTTCCCATTGTATTTCCAGTATCTATAATTTTAAGTACTTGATAAAATACTTGTTGAAAGGACACACAACTAAATGGACAATCACAATGAAAGCAATGATTTACTAATTTTCCTTACAAGATTATAATTTCCTCAAAATTTCCTGGTTTCTAAACAAATAGGATTATACATACACACAAATATTAGCATTAACAAACAAATTCAGCAAGGTTATAGAATACAAACCGAACACTAAAAATATCAGTTGCATTTCTATGTATCAACAATGAATAACCCGGGCTGGTGCCGCGGCTCACTAGGCTAATCCTCTGCCTTGCAGCGCTGGCACACCGGGTTCTAGTCCCGGTTGGGGCGCCGGATTCTGTCCCGGTTGCCCCTCTTCCAGGCCAGCTCTCTGCTGTGGCCAGGGAGTGCAGTGGAGGATGGCCCAGGTGCTTGGGCCCTGTACCCCATGGAGAACAGGTTAAGTACCTGGCTCCTGCCATCGGATCAGCGCACCGGCCGCGCCGGCCATTGGAGGGTGAACCAACGGCAAAGGAAGACCTTTCTCTCTGTCTCTCTCTCTCATTGTCTACTCTGCCTGTCAAAAATAAATAAATAAATAAATAAATATTAAAAAAAATGAATAGCCCAAAAAGAAGTAAAAAAAAAAAAAAGAACCTCATGTATTAGACCAAGGAATATAGGAATAAAGTTAATCAAGAACATTAAGAAATTAAAGAAGACACAATAGAAAAAAAAATCTCATATCTGGAATTGAAAGACTAACATATTTAAAACATCTATACTATCCAAAATTATCTAAAGATTCAAAGCAATCACTGTCAAAATTCCAGTGGCACTTTTTTACAGAAAAGGAAAACAACCTTAAAATTCTAACCCAGCCATCCCACTCCTTGGAATTTACCCAAAGGAAATTAAATTGGCAAACAAGCAAGCTGTCTGCACATTAATGTTTATTGCAGCTCAATTCACAATAGCTAAGACCTGGAACCAACCCAAATGCCCATCAACAGTAGACTGGATAAAGAAATTATGGGACATGTACTCTATAGAATACTATACAGCAGTCAAAAACAACGAAACTCGGTCATTTGCAACAAGATGGAGGAATTTGGAAAATATCATGCTGAGTGAATTAAGCCAGTCCCAAAAGGACAAATATCATAAGGTCTCCCTGATCGGCGACAACTAACTGAGTACCAAAGGGGAAACTTGTTGAAATGAAATGGACACTATGAGAAACAGTGATTTGATCAGCTCTTGTCCTGACGGTTAATGTACAATGTAATAATGTACAATGTAATACTTTATCCATTTTAGTATTTTTTTTTGTTCTAGTACCGTTGGTTGAACTCTGTAATTAACACACAATTATTCTTAGGTGTTTAAATTTTAACTGAAAAGTCATCCCTGTTAGGAATATGGAAAACATTATGCTGAGTGAAATAAGCCAATCCCAAAGGGACAAATACCACTTGTTCTCCTTGATAGGTGACAACTAACTGAGCACCAAAAAGGAAACCTGTTAAAGTGAAATGAACACTAGGAGAAACGGTGACTTGATCAGCCCTCACCCTGACTGTTGATGAGCAACTTGATATGTTATCCCTCTTAGTGTTTTTTTTGTTTGTTCTACTTAATAGTTTTGGTTGAATACTGTAATCAATACACAATTCTTCTTAAGTGCTGAAACTTAACTGAAAAGTGATCACTGTTAAATATAAGAGTGGGAATAAGAGAGGGAAGAGATGTGCAATTCGGGACATGCTCAAGCTGACTTACCTCAAACGGTAGAGTTAGAAACATACCAGGGGATTCCAATTGAATCCCATCAAGGTGGCATGTACCAATGCCATCTCACTAGTCCCAGTGATCAATTTCTGTTCACAATTGATCGTAATGATAGGACTAAGAGTCAAAGGAAGCACATAAACAAGTCTAGTACCTGCTAATACTAACTGATAGAATAAAAAAAAGGGAGAGAATGATCCAACATGGGAAGTGAGATACACAGCAGACCCATAGAATGGCAGATGTCCTAAACAGCACTCTGGCCTCAGAATCAGACCTTAAGGCATGCGGATCCGGCTGAAAAGCCCATGAGACTATTTCAGGCATGGAAAGCGAAGACACTCTGGCAAAACAAACAAACAAACAAACACTAAATGAAAGATCTCTGCGAGTGAGATCCCAGTGGAAAGAACAGATCATCAAAGAAGGAGGTACCTTTCTCTGAAGGGAGGAGAGAACCTCCACTTTGACCATGGCCTTGTCTAAATATGATCAGAGTCAGTGAACTCAGGGGGCTTCCATAGCCTTGGCAGCTC